CTGCCGTGCTCTCTCTCTCTCTCATTCATCGTGCCACTCTCTCGCTCTCCGAATTGCTAGCTCTTTGAGCTGCTTTGATAGGCCACTCCCCTTCTGTGAAGTCAGCCAATCGAAGAGCGGCGTTAAAAAGAGAGTTAAATTTGCTGGTGTGGGAAGTTGTTTATTGTCGTGGTTTCTTGTTGCTGCAGTTGTTGCCTCTGCCTATGTTGTTTTATTGGTGTTGTTGTCGTCGACAGGCAATTTACATGAAATCAAAATGAAACGCATAAAAGGGGGCGAAAAAGAAAGAAGTTTTGGCTAGGACGACTTTCAAATATGCTAAGATATACCGCCAATATGCTTTAAGAAGTAATCCCAGCTGGGAATATTTAGGTTAATACTGAATTAGAATTACTTTAGGAATATATATATTTTTTTAAATTATTCCACACTAATTTTAATTGAAATATATTAACTGAGAAATTAATATATTTGAATATTTATGATACTCGTAGCACACTTTTGAAGAGCTGTTTAATTGATTTACCTAAAGTATAATAGCACAAAGTTAAGGATACATTATATATAAATGTTCCCTTCCGAAGAGTAATCATTAAATTTGCATTTATTTTATACCCAATAGAGCCTACCCTTAATCCTGCCGGTAGAGCATTTCCACCTTCGAGCATTCCACTCAACTTTTGTTTACTTAAACTTTTACCATTTTGGGTAAGTGTTAAAGTGGCCGCCAGTCGCAGATGCCTACTGCCCCCTGTTCCCTGAATCTTGATATTCCCCGAGTTCCCCCATGTACCTCATATCTTATAGTGGGTGGCAGACAGTCCTCCATGGTTTTGTTCGGGGATCTGTTCTCTCTGCCGTTTGATATATTTTACGGTGCCATTGGCAGAGCTGATTGTTTTTTAAATTGTTTCTGCACGCGATTCGTGTTTGTCGGGTTTATGGCTGTAATAGCCACGGCCAACATTGTTGTTATTGTTATTGGTACGGTTCTGTTCTGTTTTGTACTGGCCATTGTTGGTGTTGCTGCAGCATAATTTAATTTGAATGCATATGAGACCCAAAGTGGGTAATTGAATAAGTTTCACTGCCGTCATATCGAGGTTCGTTTCGCTTATGTTGGGGTTTATTTTTTCTAAATTTGATTAGCGACACGATTCGAAAAAGTATTTTGCACGTTCCTGAGAAATCGCGTGTGGATGGGCTGGAGGGTACTTCGGGGGTTATGATATATATTGCAATTTATTTTTTGTCCGGCTTGGCTGGCTGCTTGCCACTCAAATTGATATGTAAACGTGCGGGATTTTTTAATGCAGCCGAACAGTTTGGTAAGTGGAGGTAAGGTTACACACTCGACTCGTGTAAGCTTCGATTTGTGTTTGTTTTCCGCGATATTTCGAGGAGCAGAATAAATCAGCGGGAGCCACGCCCTCGGGCAAATTCGATTGCAATTTTTGTGGCTTGTAATCAAAATCGATTTCTCATTTTCGCACACTAACCCGACTAAATTGGCAGCAATTTTAGGGCCTCCTCACGTACGAAACAAAGGAAATTGTTTAAAATGTGATTAAAGTCCATTCATTTGCCGTATTATCTCGCAAAAAGGTTCGCTTAAGGTCAGACACTTGATTAGAGTAATCTTTTGGCTGGTTTTCAGTATTTTGGTGGCTGTCATTGAACTCGAAACGAGGTGGAAACGAAATCAAAGCATATATTTAGCCAACAATCGCGAATGGAAATTGGTTAATTGCCTGAGAGCCGCAACCACGGACCGTGCCTCATTAATCATGCCAGAAATGCATATTTTTGCTTAGGTGGTTTTTAATTAATTTGATTAGCATCAATCGCTTGAATGCGAATTATGAATCAATTTATGGCAGAGTCGGTATCTCTCTTCTTTCCATTCTCGTTTCCGCTTGTAGCTACCGAAACGAGTTCGTTGCCTAAGTCTTTCGTTTCAGCCCTCTTGCCTTGTTTTGCTCTCAGCATCCGAAACTTAATCATTTTGACATGTCTCGCCTTCATTTGCATAATTTTAAATAACGTTTAATGTCGGGCCACGCCCCCAAAGTTATCGCTGTGAATCGGTTGTGGGTTGATATCCGCGATCGACGATTATTAATCGATCGGATCATGAATATGCAGAATGCCGCTATTAATTGGACAGCTCACAAGATTGTTAGCTTCTTGAATGCGGCAATAAATGTGGGCCACGCTTGGCTGGGTTTGAAATGCTTAATTACTGATATACACAGCAGGAATATTTATCTTTAAATTCACGGCTGACATCAACGATTATACCTATAACTAACATGCTTTAAAAACATATAATTACAGAAATAAATGTAGGGGAAAGTAAAGTTTTTGTAAAATATTATTTAGCTACCTTTGAATTTGTAAGATTTTCTGAGAATATAATTTGTAAATGAGTTTGCATTTTGTATTTTATCTCCCTTTTTATAGTTTGCTTACTTTTAGTACTAACCCAAACTTTCTGGCTAGTTTCCAGGTGTGGGTCAAACTTTTTTTTGGTTGATTTTCACTGTTAGTTGATCTCGGTTGGGTGACCTCATCTGGGATCGCTCAACTCCCTTGTAAATGCCTTGGGATTCAATTAATAACCTCCTAATACAACGTGAACCCCCGATCGGCAAATAGGAAAGGGGCTACCTACAGCAAAGCCTATGCTCAGTCATTCTCGGCTTGTTTGGCGTGGAGCTCTCCTGCTTTGCCGACGGATCCACCGGAGCCAATTCAGTGGAGCACTCACCACGTCAGACACACGGACAAATGTTTGCACAACACACGATAATGATGACAAGCCAAATTAGCTACTAATTTTCACACACACACGAAGGCAGCAAGAACATGGAAAAGGGTCAGTTGGAGCGCCAGGACCTCACACAGCTGGCGTTCGTTAATTTCTGGCACCGGAAGTTGAGAGCGAGGGAGGTTTCCCGGGGGATTGGAAGATGGCTGGGAATTGCCATAAATCAGCATTTGATTATCCTTCGTCCCGTCTAATTTTACCTCTCGGCTAATTTTCTGCTCCCTACCGCCTCTTTCTTTCTCGGTTCTTTCAACGTCGATGTCATGTGCGTGTTCGTTTGTTTTTAATTTATTAATTAGTAGGCGGTCTCGTTGCATAGCCGGGATGTATCTGGTATCGTTGGTTAAGGGCTATTAGCGAAATCTTTTAAGCCAAAGCTATCGTATGCCAAGCATGCGGGCAATGTCGAAAGGAAGCTCCGTTTTGACGGGGCTATTCGTAAAAGTTCTTTAAAAATGATTATACTAAAATTTATATGCTGTTGACATTTACAGTTGCTTAATTTTTATGTTTTTAATGCACGTAAGCCAAGTAAACTATGAAAACTTGTGATATATAATTATTCTTAATTTATCTTTAATTTTATATTCTGAGAATTTTAGTTTAGTTCTTTTTTTGGTGAATAAACTTTCCTCAAGAGCTTTCACATGCTAAGCGGCGGCTGTCAACCATCCCAAACAACTGCCACTTGGCTTCCCAAAAAGCCAGAGATCTTTCGGGGCAGAGCCAAGATCACCTCGGGTGGTCGTAGGACGTCACTCAAATTGAAGTCCGGTAAATGAGAATTGCTCGGGACTGAAGAAAGGGAGGGCGGGTGTATCCATATCCACTGGCCAATCTCCATCATCTCCGTCTGTGAGCTGGAGTTGTTGGATTTTTAATTAAGCGTGGCCTGCACCCGAGGCTTTTCGTCAAGTAGCTCCTCTAGACAGGGGAAGTATGAGGAACTCTCGGCTCGGATGTGGAACAGGTCTTGTTAGTAATTTTTAATTTGAGCTCTTCTGACAGCCAGCTGTCATATAAATTTAATTGAATTTACATTTTTATTAATTGCCAAGTCTGCTAGTGTGCCGAGTCGCGATCTCTTGGTGCTACCCGTTGGCATGAATGGGAGATGAGTTGCTCAAACTGACTGGCTACTCATCAGCCCATCCACATCCACGTCCACTCTGTGAATGAATTTAATTTGAGATGATTTGTTGATGGTTTCGTTGCGGTGATTTCTTGCTGACTAATTTAATGTGATTTTTAAATTGCCAGCAGACCAAGGCTAAGTGTGTGGCCTGTGAAGGGGTACCGGGATCTCTTCGGAAGATTGATTTGGGCTTTGCATCTGGGGAGTCGGGGCCGCATTTTCACGGAATTAATGAGATGACACGCCTCTCTTCTGGATACAAAACCCCCTCTCGATCATTATGAACTAATCTAATTTGCAAGCCCAGCGATGACAATCGAAGACGATGGAGTATCCCCTCGGTTTCCTTCCAGATCCTCCTCTTCATCCTGGCCAAATTTACTAACGAGTTACCCTTCTTGCTACTTCTTTGCCAAGACCTCTTTCAGTTTAATTCGCAAATCAAACAACCGCAGGGCAGGCCTCGGAAATTCACGCATAAGTAAATTAAAAATAAATTTATGTCCCGGCCATTGAGAGGGTCAGAAGAAGAAATGAACAGGCGGGCGGAGAGAGATGGAGCATGTGTAAACCGGTTTCGAGTCGATCGCGAATGCAAATCCAATTAAAATTTGCCAACCGCCCAATAGGTACCGGGCGGAGGGGAGGGCGGATCGCATCCTGCGACTGGCGCTAAGCCGTAAAACGAAGCTGTGCGCTGATTTTAAACACTGCGGGGCGTGCTTATTGATTAAATACAAATTGCATTCATTCATCATCAGCTCTAGGGGCTGCTTGATATTGGTAATCTGGTTTTAGTTGTTGTAATTGGTTAACGATTTCAGCTGGATGCGTTGCCCGATTTGCAATGAAATTAAGTTCTGCAGCCCCAAGAAGGAATAACAAAAAACTTCTTACAATTTTGAATCTAATAAAATTTTGCGCCAATATATCTGTAGCGTTAGCGCGTTTTCATTAGATATATGCCACAAAAAACAATCGATAGTTGGCTCTTCCAAATGACCGATTAAAATCGTTTTTTGACCACCTCTAGCGTATTATTATTATTTTATTTTACTTCGTTGTTTAGCAAATAGTTCGTTTCTTACTCACTGATTGCAGTACGGAGACAGTTAATCAATGACTTAAAAACAACCTTCGTCAGCTGTTTCTGAATAAAATTGCACGACGACGTCGATGGCGTAGCTGTAAATTAATGATAATTCCTGGACTTGGAGAGAACAATAGTGCAATTCAATGCCAAGAGGCAGCGACACACAGAGACTGGTGGCCGACCAGGACGAGGATGAAGAGATTTTGGGTACAGAGGGCAGTTTTGTCCCCGCCTTTCGACCACAAGATCAATCGGAATACGATCTGGGGGATGAGAGATGTGTTTTAGAGCGCCAGCAAGATGAAGTGGTTCTGGTTTCCAACGAACCAGCCAGTGGCAAACTTTTTACCTATTTCGTGTTCTACCTTCTAGGAATTGGCACAATGACCCCGTGGAACTTCTTTGTGACCGCTGAAGATGTAAGTTTCATGAATGGAAATGTTCACGCCCGCATCCAAGTCAATCAAACTGAACTTCGGACATCTGAAATCCAAACAGCTGAACAAGTGGGCCAAGCGCAATTCTAAGGCGCGTTTCTTATCAGCTTTTTTTATTGTGCTTTTACACGCTGAGACGATAACTCTTTTGTTTTTCTTTGTTTTCTACTGACTAAGCACTCTGTTTTTCTTTCAGTACTGGAAGTATAAGTTCCGGAATGCATCAATTAATATCACAGATGTGGACGAGGAGCTTACACCGTTACAGAAGAGCTTCACATGCGATTTGGCTCTCACGGCCACCATTTCGGGAACAACCTTCCTGCTGCTTAATGCCGTTTACGGTCACCATGTTTCGTTGCGCACCAAGATGCTGGGCACGCTATGGGTGATCCTTGTTCTGTTCGGTGTTACCACTGGCTTCGTAGAGGTCAACACGGACACGTGGCAGGAGCAGTTCTTCCTAATCACGCTCATCATTGTGGTGCTGCTAAATAGTGGGTAGTTAGAATTAATAATTAGTCCTATTATAACATTTGAATCTTTTAGTATCTGCGGCAACAATGTCGGGAGCACTTTACGGAGTCGCTGGACTCTTTCCCTCCGAGTTCATCACCGCTGTGGTCAGTGGACAAGCTCTAGGTGGTATTCTTACAGCCCTAGCGTTCATTCTCGTGCTTGCATTTGACACGGGCCCTAATACTACCGCATTTATCTTCTTTATCGTGGGCGGAGTGCTTATACTGCTCTGCATTGTCTGCTACGTGATTCTGGCGCGACAACCCTTCTTCCGGTATTATCTAGAGGGTGGCGATAAATACAAAGTTATTCAGGCAGTGCCGTCGCATAGTAGGAATGAAGGAGCAGAGGCCCCTCCCGCTCGAGCCAATTTTGCGGCAAGTCATGTCAAAAATCTATCTGCATGCCATTTGTCTAGCGCTTCTCTACATTACAACATTGTCTGTGTATCCGGCGGTTACAGTTCTTATGCAATCCGAACATAGTCACAGCGAATGGACAGGTAATATAACCCTTATTTTCCTTAAAATTTTTCTTCCTAACAGATTACTTTCAGATGTGTACTATCTACCCGTGGTAAACTATCTGATCTTCAACTGCGGTGACTACTTTGGCCGTCTGCTTTCTGGCTGGTTGGAAAAACCCGTCAACCAGAATACTTCGCTGTTATTTATAGTATGGCGGATGGCCTTCGTTCCATTCTTCCTGTGCTCCAATTCCAGCGAACACAATTTTCTACCTGTTTTGGTGAAGCACGACTACTCCTTCATTACGATGATGGTAATTTTTGCCCTGTCCAATGGCTACTTTACCAACATACTACTCATAATGGCGCCAAAAAGCGTAAAACAGCACGAAAAAGAGCTGGCTTCCTCCATTATGGCGGCAGCTTTAAGCTGCGGCATGGCTTTGGGATCGCTGCTAAGCCTGGTATTTGTTCAGATGCTGTGATCACTCGATAATAATGAGTCTGATATGGTGCCTTAAGTAATAAGAGAATCTTTTAGCTATGAAGTCTTACGTTTCTAGATAATTTTTATGTCAGCGGTGTCTTCAACGTTAAACAGCTCCGAATAATTTTTTTATTTGCCAAGTTAACTGTATATCGTTTCCTAGATGTAAGTTTTAAAGTTCTGTCGATGTGCTAGGAATAAGAACATTTTTAATCAAAATTGAAACTTAGCATTTCTCTTGGTTTAACGTTTATTTTCGTTTTGTGGATCACAACAACAATGTGGATAAATTTTATTTAATTTCCGTTTGACATTATTCTTTAAATTAACTAACAAACTCCACTGTAACATTGACTGCAAAGGATTTACTTAATGGGAAATATCTTGCCGCAGTAAACAGAATCACTGCTTACGGCTACAAAATGTGATTTTAGAAAAAAGCCTCTGCATTTCCGATTTCTAATCAAATCTTTTAAATCTTTTTTGATACAGAATCCCTGTTTTGGTATTTTGGGAATGACCATTTATCCGAAGCACAGAGCTTCTTAAACTGTTAAAGTTAATATATTCTACCTCAAAAGAATGAGTAGAATAAAATGAAGCCCGAAAAGTATGCTTTAAAGGTATACATATGTAAAATCGGCCAAAGCATAAAAGTCAACAAAGAAAACCCGAGAAATCGGGATGTCTGTAAAATTCTAAAAACTCCATTAATTTCAGTTCGAAACATTTTCTTTGTCTATGTTGTTCAATTGGTTTCATATTACTAGCTTTTAGTAAATTTTTTAATTCTTGCTAACATCAAGATCTTGGTTTTGGTTTGGTTTATTAGTGCCTGGCAATATTATTGCAACAATCGGGTTCGGTTCTTCAATATATATGTAGATTTACATATATCTCTAGGGTAAGTCTAAACATTTATTTAACTAATTTATAGTTATAGGCAACAACAAATTCGTTAGTTGCACTGTCAAAATGTATTGCGGGCCTCACAATTATGGCCTAAATAGTTGTTATTCATTTATTTTTAATTTTTGTCCTTTCGAAATCTTACGCTGTTCTTCGGTTTTCTGGTGTTTGACACCGGTTTTGCTTTTCAATTTAAATATCATTTTTTATAAGTTAATGGCTTTATCGTTAACTTAGCTTAACAAACACAAGCAAACAACGAACATCGATTAAAGCCTTTCATGCAAAAGATAGTTTGCGGTGAATAAAGTAATTACAACATCAACGGTAGGGATAGGAAAAACATCGACAGCACACAGATAGGGATGCAGATACACATAGTTGATCGAGTAATGCTTACATACGTACAACACCAAAACTATTTTCAAATTTCTGCTGAGTTGCTACAATGTTAATGGCTGCTTTATTGAATAAGTGAAGCCATTTGCACAATTACACAGATAGACACCGAATGATATAGACGATTGGCAATTAACATCGAAGTGGATGCAAATACCGGAGAAACACGTACGTAGGTAGGTAGATACCAATACTCTGGAATATTGCTTGTTCGCTATGTGGATATATCGTACCTTGTGGAACATTCTTAATATGAAATCTACGACACACACACATTAAAATTTACAACATCAATTGGGAGTAAGGAGACCAACTGTGAGCCAGATAGAACAGGCTCTGGTCCTGCCTTATGCGTTTGTGGTAGGATCTCGAGTCGGGTCTTGAGTAAGAGTTATGGGAAATTACAACATCTAAGGTGGTTCTGCCGTCCAGTGAAATGTAATTTCAACATTGTTTTGATTATTCTCATAGTGTTCGTTTAGATTACGTACTCATACGAGTATGTGTGTTGTAGGCTATGCTTGAATTTTGGATTTAGTTACAAGGCAGCTTGGGTTCATTTGATTTCTTTCTTGTTTCTCGTATGATTATGATTACGTTAGGGAAGGTGTCTGGTCTACAACATAGGTCAAATACATATACTGATCAAATTTACATATTGTTTGATTGTCTTGAAAATGCGCCTCCAGTCCACAGTTTGAGAGTCACATAAATCTATGCGTGATTCCCCGAAAACTGCTCACGATCTTTCGTTTTCTGGTATTTTTGGTGTTGTAGGTTGTGTGCGACGCCGTCTGTGCGTGTGTGTGTATACGTTGGACCAAGGTGAAAATTGGGAAAAGTAAATGGGGTAAAATTAAAAAATTGTAGAAATATTAATTCTGAATAGAAATTTATTGGAACCTGCTAACAACTATAAAAACGTAAGAGTAGTGACTAAATCAAGAATAAATAGCAACCAACCAAATAATAATTGACTAATTGTTGGTCTAGACTTGTGCTCAGACGTTCGCTTACACGTCCGCCTTATGTGTGCACGAGATTCATTCCAAAGCTTGTGCAAGAGCCTTAAACTTATAGTATAAATTAGATCGATTAAAACTGATGTAAAATACACACAACCACAATTAGCATTAGATAAATGGAGCACTAGACCTCCTTCGTATAGACAAATAAATTATACTTAGTTTCAGCTTCTGTTACGTTTGCTTGCTTAATTAGACACTCAGAGTTTCAGCGAAGTTCGAATAGGAAGAAACCGTACGGCTTGACGAGGGTTCGATGGACTAATGGATTTACATCCATCATAGATTAACAACGATAGTCACAGTTTACCGATAAAGTACTGTAAAGTACGGATACGTTAACAGTTACACTACAAGTACATCATACATGTGATAGATTACGTCTAGTTTGTTCAGTTAGAAAACGCGTTTCGCTTGGATTACCCTCAGTAGTGGGGTTTACAAGTCCGAAGGCCCTTAGATCTAGATCGAGGTCAGTTCCCGTTCAAAAGGTGTGGGAGTGTAGGGTCTACTCCTCAGTTGCTTAAATTCTAAGAAGACTTTTTCAATTCTATTTTTCTGCTGTGAATACTGAAGACTAACAACTGTTGAACCACATTTAATCCTAAGGATTGGGGCGGGAAGAAAAAATCGTAAGGGCAAGGCCCGTTTACGTCTTCATCTCCGCTGCTGCGGAGATGCTGTTGTGCGACTTGGCTGGCGATATAACCGAATGGCCACCGGAAGCCCCTGCATCCAAATTTAGTGTGAGATTATTGCCAGAAATGGCAGACGAACCGGAGCCCGAGCAGCCGTGGTGGTGTGGCCCGCGGAAAAGAACTAGGAAGCCATTGCTTGACACGCAGCTACGCGATTCCGCCTCCTTGTCGAGGATTTGACGAGCCTAGTGGTTCAAAAAGAGGTCGGCATTAAATAGGTCTATCAAAATGATTTAACAAATTATCTCACGGACTTACCTTGGAGCGGTGTTCTGTCAAGGCATTGCGAACTGATTCGTGCTGCTTCTGCAGTTCATCCGTACGCCTATCAAAGGTTTGCTTCAGACGTACCCGCTCCGCTACGCCGCGTTCCACCACGGAGCTAGCCACTTCTCGTTTCATTCTGCAAGACAAAATACGGATTAATAACCCATTTACAAATGAGGTATGCAACCCACCTTATCAGCTCATCCCGATCCCGATGCACGGTAGCCAGATTCTTGACTTCATTGCGGCGCGCCTCCTGGAGCTGGTGCATCACCTCGCCGGTGACCTTGTCCAGCGACGCTTTTAGCTGCTTTGTCTGACTAGACTGCGACGTCTTTAAGACCTTCTCAGCTGCAGTGTATATAGCATCATGGTATTTCTCCTGCAGCTCACGGTACTGAGACGTGTAATCGCGGCAGGCACTGCGTAATCGTGACTCTTGAGTGCTGCTATCCAGGGTGCTGCTCCCACCGGCCAAGTCCTCCCCAGCATCAGCGGCTGCACTCTCCTCACTGCTATCGCCCAGATCCAGAGGGCAGGCGGGAATCTCTATACCGGGCTCACTGTGCGGAGAAAGACAATTACTAATTTCAATGGCGTCGTCTGGCAGTGCCGCTCCCACTGAGAATCGCCCCCGCCCAAACACTTACAGACTCTTGTTGCTCAGCCGTTTCACAAGCTTGTTGGTGATGGCAAACTTTGGCTTCTTGCCCTCCATCGGACTGGATTTCTGGCCGGCGATCTTGACCTTCTCTTTGTCGTGCTTCTTGCGCAACGACTCTAGCTTCTTTTCCATTTCGAGACGCTTCTCCTTCACGGTCTTGTGGTCCAAGATCTTCTCCAGCGGTTCAGCCAGCACAAGGTCCACATCAAACTGCGAGGATTCGACCTGGCGAATGGAGGTGCTTACGGACTGATCCAGAGAGTGCTGGTGCTGAATGGAGGGTGCCACAATGGAGACGCTGTCCTCACCCCTACCGCCATCGGTGCGATCCATGCTAGCCTCCACGCTCATCACCGCCGTTGCCGAGATACTCGGCCTGTGTTTTGGCGAAGTGGCTAGCGATTCTACTGGGCGCAGCTCCTTTTTCTGACCACCTACTTGGACGAAAACGACTGGAGGATCAGACAGAATCGAATAAAGCGAGTGGGCAGGGGAAAAGGTTTAGAGGTTGTGCAGTTTGTGTGTCCGTCAACCGTTTTGAGTAAGGGAGTGTTTGTGGAGGTGGAAAGTGTTTTTGTGGGTTGTGTTGTGGTTGTGGTGTTGATTTAACCAAATCCGAAAATCCAAAAGTTCAACCGAAAGTTATATGAAAGGTTACCAAAAAGAAAAGTAGAAAGAAAAGAAGATAAATTAAAATCGCAACTTGAAATGGGTGAGTGGTTCTACTCTGTGCGGCTACTGCTGTTTACTCACACGACTTGGAGAGATCCTCGTCCGCATTGCTCACCGCTTCAGCTTCGTCTGTCAAGACAGACAGCTGAATATCGCGCTTCTCCAGCTCACTTTGGTATTTAATTGGATTAGCCAGGGCCTCGGCGAAGTTGGAGAGATCATCAGGCACATAATCCTTGACTACCACGCAAAGAAAAAGGGAGGCAAGGGCTATTGGTTGTCCCACCTCTGATCGAAGATTAACATGTCGATACCCAGGACAAAGGCCAATTACAGGCAAAACCCGATGACCAATAAGTTTGCCTCCCTCTTCATAAGCTGCAATTCGGATGCTCGCCAATTCTGGAAGAACCACTTTCTTAAACACAAACGGCTCCTCGTCATAAACAGGATTCATTCCATTATCCCGGACTGTCTTGGTGCGGAACTTCTTCCTCACCGTGTCCGCTGGCAGCCCGTACATATCCACTTCCACAAAAGTGTTGGCCCTCTTATCCGTGAGAAACTGACCGGATAATACCGTGATCGAGACAGTGCCTGCTATGATGCCATCCACAGTGCTTTCTGCAAAGGGATCCAACCTGCGATCGGATCGCCGCATAAACTCCGGCTTAAGTAGATAACCAGACCGGGCGTTATACTCGAAAATTCCCAAGTTCAGTTGCATGGCCAGATCGAGGGTTTGGAAGTTGAGAGCAACAAGTTGACATCCCGCATTCCAGAACAACTGCGGCATAAAGTTGGAACTATCAAAGCGTGTTCCCGCCGGATAGACACGGGATAACTGGTGTTTGTTGTAGTTCACAAACTCAATCGGTCGCTCCTTTAACAGGGTGGTCGCTTGCTTTTCATCGAACGAGGACATTTCATAGCAGCGGTTCTTTTCTATAAGATTGGTTAAAAGGAATGGGGGTTAAAAAATAGTAAGTATTCCTTACTCAGGAAAGAATACTCACTTTCTGCATTTTCAAAGGAGCTGAAGTGGATGGGTTGAACATAGTTGACCAAAGCTGAGATCTCTGCCCCGGCCTCTGTTTCCTTCTGAGCCTTTTCTGGGGGAGGTTCGTTGCCACTTGGCAGATTGGGCGTAGTGTTGGGCAGGGATTCGTCTTCCGATGAGCTGTCCGAATCGGAGGATCCGGTGCTGTCTTTGGAGCTCTGGCGGATTTGCTGATTTTGCGGTAAGAGATAAAAGATGAACGTTTTATTAGCATAGCCGTCAACAGTTAGATATAAAGTATACGCTGTGTGGTACCCCCTGACTGAACTATTAAAGTGCATGTCATTGCATTGTGCTAGTCCTGAAAGAGTATGTCACATACATGGAAAGGAAGATGGAATTTAAAACCCATTATTATTATTATACTTTGTGCTGTTTTAGTCGCCAGAAATCCAACGCTCTTCTTGTTTTGCTTTACACTGAGAAAAATATCCTTGCCAAAGTCTCATAGATACGAATGCTATTTCTCTGGCAAAATTATAGATACGATACGATTCGATGGATATTTTGTTATAATATTAATGTTAATACTTATATTACTTATACAAATTTGTATAGTTTTTCTCTGTGTGGCGATAATGCGAGTATGGGACAAGAAAATTGCACAGATTGTGTTTTCCCTTCACGGCGAAAAAGGGCCGAAAGGGGAAGTAGTCAACGCATTGTTAAGCATTGCATAAAGTTTACGACACGACGACAGCCAGGACATGACAGTCTGCGGTCTGCGGTCTCTGGTTTCCTTATTCCTTCACCCTTAACCCTTCACCCTTTGTCCCAGCGGAATCACGTCACTCTGAAATCGATTTATAAAAGTCCCATAATTCCGGCAGTCGAAGGAAGTGCGGATAATGTGCCGCTGGCCGAATATCAAGACCCTGGCGAATTCCCAGCGGCTAATGAGGCCAAAATGCACAGCATACAGCGCTACCCATGTATATGGGAATGGTTCGCCATGTGAGCAGCGGAACCTTGGCTGCCATTAGCACCGGCCCAAACGGCATTTATTATGCAACACAGCCATTAAACCTAAACCAGGACCAGCAAAAAATTCATAAATCATAGCACTGCGGCAGACCGGAAAATTAAATTCAAATCCATAAAGAGGCCTAAATGAATCTTTAGTAGGAATGAGATTTGACCACCATTTAGCCAAATTAGTTTGAATTTTAGTTCCAGCCAAGTTTGCAAATGGGGATTCCCCCGAAGCTCTGATTTTATTTACTGCTTGCGATAGTAATGGCAGGGATAACTTCTACGTAGTGACCACATCGTGTGTCACTTCCTGACCCACTTTGACTTTTCACAATTCGAAGCTCGTTGACTGTTACTGTAAATCAGCAAGAAACCTGACCTCATACATTTCCATTGTCAGGCATAACTAGCATATTCCATTCATATCAATAGACACCTTCATTATTAACTTTACTTCTCACACAATACACTCAGAAAAATGTGGGTTCCTAACAGAGACTATTTTATAAAACCAAAAGGGAATTGGCAAATATAACTGGCAAGCCTAACTATTATGAGTTCTGTGGTATTTGGGTTTGCCCTTTCAAGCATGCTTTGTTTGGCTGTGTATTAATGTCGGTTCTCCCTTCTGTATACTGTCATTATGAGTACTGCGTTTGCAAACGCGGACTGTAAACAAAACAGTCCGATGCCTATCATCACCAGCAGGAACAAATGCCAACAGCAAACAAAATACAAATCAGCCGGAGTCAACAGACAAACTACACAATACGCCTTGCCATAGATATGTCTGTATATCTCTACATACATATAAGTGCCATTGGGAGTGTGCCATTAAATGCAATTACAGGCATGCCAGTGCTACGCCCACAATAACCGTAATGGATGGAAACACTATGCTCCTTGACCTTTTATTGCTATGCTCGATGGCAGAAAACAGAACTCACTTGCAATGGCGGCGCATGTCCTGCTGTCCCAGGTGCACTTCCGGTTCCTGTTCCCGTGGCAATATCCCCGTTGGCGGTGCTCCTGGTCACGCTTCCGTCCTCTTGACCGGCCGCCAAAGCCACTTGTGCTGCTGCCGCCTTGGCATCCACTGGAAAACGCATTAATCAATTAATTGTATAAAAGCATTATAGACAGATATTTTCTCAAAAAATGTATGCCAGTTTTGGGTAATTGGCAATCTCTAAAATGTGTACTTAAATTCAAATTATATCTCGCTAACGCTTTTTGCCAAACCAATTAGATTATGGACGGAAGGAAAATGTGCCAAGCTTTTAAATGTAGTTTGCCCTAATAAAATATCATAAAAATATATATATATCAAATTATATAAGCCAGGAGTGGGAGGCGGATAAAGAGGATGCAATCGCCGCTGGGAGCCTAGAGACGGAGAGATGACAGAATGGATTCCTGAATTGCAGCCAGGGGCGAGGGGTCCAAAGTAATTTGCATTTATAAATTGGCTTTTTGCAATTCATGGGCTAAATGTCATCCAGCCAATGCCGAAAGGATGTGGCTGTTAAAGGAGTGCAAGGGTGGAAGAGTGGAAGAGCGCTGGGCGACAAATGTCGGGGCCCCGGGAAAACTGTGCAGCTGTGCATGCTAATGGCTCCTCCAGGAACTAGAAGCAAGCAAACAGAAAGTGTAAATGGAAGTGGTCAGACGGCAAATTTATAAACAACGTTTTCGTTGCAAAACTTTGAATAAAAGCAAGTCAAAGTTTTTCTAAATATTTGGCTCGGAAACCAGTTCTATTGATTGTAAACCAGAAATAAAAGGTTTTATCTTCTACAACAGACTTTAATGTCATATTCCTTACTTAAAGTCAAAGTGGGAGCTTCCAAGTAAGCTTCTTGTCAAAGATATATCAATCATAGGATATATACAAGCGAACTGATGAACTGGGGACCACCAACCCACATCCCTCTTTTTGAATATTGGGGCGTTGTTCCAAATTTGATATTCCCAGACTGCCTTCCCGGCTAATGAACATTTTGCAAAAAAAAAAAGCAGCAGGGAGCAGCTGCTTCGTGTGCGAAACTCATTTGCATCTTTCCTAGACCAAAAGGGGGCTCAGAAGGGGTAAATGAAAGGCAGGAAGCTTCGAAGCCAAAACATATGTGAGTCGGGAAACAGAACCTAAAAACAGCCAACAAGGCGAGCAAAAGAGGGGTAGAAGCACGTTGAGGGTAAGTTAGCTCACCTGAATTGGCCGTAGTCAGTTTGTTGCTGGCTGCCGGCGTGCCCACCTGTGCCGGCTTTTTGTGGTGGTGATGGTGGTGGTGGTGGTGGTGCTTTTTCTTGTTCTTGATGATAATCTTGCGCCGAAGCATCGCCGGTGGTGGCAGGTCCATGTTCGGTTCCAGTGGATGAGAGTCCAGCGGCTTGTCGAGAAGCATATCGCCAAATATTTCACGACAATAGTTGGCTATTTTGGCCTATTAAAAGCGAGAAAAAAATAATTGAGCTCGAATATTTTGTACGCTATCTACTAGTTTGCATTTGAGACAATAACTAAATGGGATCTGGAAACCGTATTTCTTTCTTAGCTAAGAGTTATGTCCTTAAAGAGCTTTTAGGAATCTTTTTAAATTGCATATCGAACAAACTGGGCAACATTGCAAATAGTTTTTATCGGTTTCATTACCCGGCCATCATATGTAAGAGGTTGATAGTAAAAGTTACTTTCTTTCTTGGTCCATTGTTACCAGCCTGTTTTCCCAGTGGGAAGTTTAGTATATATTACTGCTTTTAATGGTTTAACTTTAGCCTTTTACCTCTCAGGCTGTAAAAACTTTGCCTTGCTTATTAGCCAGCTCGTGGAGCTTAAGGATTCGGCAATTACCGTTCGAGTGGCTTTCGAGATTCGCCACGTTTCAGAGCTCTTGACTACCTTCATGGCCTTTAAGTAATGTTTTTGGACTCAAGGACTCCCCCATGTGTGCCGAGTTCTTTGCTTGTCTTTCCCCGAATGATGGATTAGGGTGATAAGTTAGGGACTCTACTGTTGTTTTAGGACAAATAACTTTTTGGCCTTCCCTGTTCTACAATTTTTCTTGCTAATTCCTTTTGAGACTTAGATTCTAGCCTTTATTCACTTCTCACCTGTTGCCTTGGGTTGCAATGGTTCTCAAAACTCAATATCACAGGGTATTCTGATGTTTTAAATGCACTCTCTGCGATGGCCTCCAACACGTCCTTAGCAAAAATCTCGGGCACGAACGTATAGCCGTGAACAATGACCGGCTCCTCGGTACGACCATTCCAAAAGTCAAGCTCAACGCATCTGCAACAGGGCGGGTAGAGGGAAAAACACAAGTTGTAAGTAGTTAAAGCAAATGACAATTTCCCACTTTCGGTTTTCATTTTCCTTTTCCCATTTCCTCTTCCCATTTCCCTCTGTAAATCGCACGCAGAGTGCCGAATGCATTCTGACAGTCGTACAAGCGCAGTATAAACTCAAAGTAACAGCTTCTGCGTCAATAAATTTTGTGATGTGTGCATCGGCGTCTGAATTAAAGTTGTCACTGACAGACAACCTTAAGTCGAATTAATTTAGCCTAATGGAACAAATTCGAAAGCGTGAGTTCAGGGTTGATCCCATAGTTTAGCAATCCTGCATTCCAGTTCTTTTTTTCTTCACGTTTGCAAAAATGGCCCAAACGTGGATTCGACCTCAAAACCTGCAGTAAACGTTTTAAGTGAGTGCGACAGAGAGTGGTTTTTTAGCTGTGGGATTCTCAGCTGAAGGTCACTACGTACGTACACACATGCACCAGCTCCCGAGCGAGGACAACCGACCACATCAATTGCGTCGTTGCCATTCCATTGTATGACCGGATTGACTCCACATTCCACTCACCTGCATCCCGCTAGGAGGCACTGCCTGTATATCTCGACGGAGGACTTGCCCGTCAGCTGGTGGCCTGTCAAGTAGGTATTGTGCGAGGAGTTGATGAAGTAGTGCGACATCGGCTGGTCCATATCGTCGCAGAGATCAAGCTTGTTGGGCGCCATAATGGGATTGTCGTCGCCCATTAAGTACCTGTGGGTACAAGGAAGAAGATAGGGATTAGTCAATTGTCGACATAGAGAGCTGTCATGATGGCAAAATCTACGGCAGTCTTAAGACTTTTATGCGAAAATGCTTATGCAAATTCAGGGTAGCGGTTTCTGTTTTCTGTGCGTGTAGGTCTTAGCGAAATACACACTCGGTGGCAGCTGAAGTGTCTGAGCAACTTTGCAGTTTCAGCTGAAGGCCGCGTCACTTTTCGCGTCGTCCTTCGCCCGCTTATTCCCCTTAGCAGCTGGCTGTTACATACAGTAAACTGTGGGGTAGACCCCTGAGGGGAAAACCATTTTCCCTTTTGCAGAGAGCAGAAGCAGCGCAACGGCAAATTCATATGCATATGCATATGCGCTTGCACTTGAGTGGGCCTTCGAGTGACTCTAACAGCACGAACAGCTTGCACTGCGCCTGATAAGCTGTCACGCCCAGAAGGGTTCCCAAAGTGAGTGGATCCAGTGGCTTTATGTGGCAGTCAGTCCACAGCAGCAACAAGTCAACTTACCTCAAAAAGCCATCCAGGCTGAGCTGGCCCTTTTGTGCGTTGAATTTGTTTGGCTCATATTGCTGGATGAGTTCCTTGGCGCGAGCGGGATTCGCGTACGGGTAGAGGATCTCGTTCAGCCGGGGATCGCGCTGCGTCTTGTTCAGGAATTCAACCAACTGGGCGATGGACATGCACTTGCGTTTTGAGTTGCCCACACTGAAGGGAGAAGAAAATCGTAAAATAAACGAATGGCTTTAATGAGATAACTGATTGAGGAATCTAATGAAATCTTTTGAGTAATAATACATAAACAAAAAATCGCAATTCTTTCCTACTGGATAAGTGTTTGATTACTTTTTTTCAGGTTCGCTTACATGCTGTCAAAGAGTCGTTCCACTTCCGAGCGCTGCGTCAGATATTTGTACAAATTGTAAAAATCCTCGAACTGAAATTTGGTCACCGATATGCTATCAACCTTTCCCGACGGCAAACCAGTCACGTCCAGCGCCTTCTCGACACGTTTGCGATCCTCCTTGTTCTGGGCGAAAAGTTTTATGATGCTGAAGTGGTCACGACGACGAAATTGACCAGCAGAGGAGTAGACAGCACGGTTGGATGGCGGACAATGGAGTGGGTTGAGGGTTGATGTCGTCGCAGTTATCATCATTGTGGTGGCCAGTGATGCGTGGAGCCACGTTCCAGAAGCAGCAGCAGCAGCAGCAGCAGGAGGAGGACCAGGAAAAAGGGAAATTGCGAAATAGAAATTGGCGTAAATTTCAATTTTCAGCTCAGCGTCGATGGCTACACTTAACAAATATTTGTCAAGTGCTTGAACGCACAATGCACAAAAGCCAGGGATCCGAACCCGAAAGTTGGCTGGGATTCACGGTTTCAGCACATTGAGCGTTGAGTGAGAGTAGTGTGAGAGGAATGGGGGGCTGTTGTGGATTACTTTTTCACTGGTATGCGACCGCTCTTGTCCACCTGCAGACACAGTTTGGTGTGGGCCTTCTGCAGGAACATAATTGCCGACCCGTTGAGCTGGGCCAGGCTGTAGGCCAACTTGATGAGTCCGTCCGACCAGAGCTGCAAAAAGCGGATGAGAACTGTATAAAATATCGAATGAAACCCGAAAAATGTCTGTATTCTGTAAAATATATATGTAATATTCTCTTTCTAGAGCGGGATTATTGATAAATTAAAATTATTATTATTATTTGTTCATTCTCTGTAGCTGCCAGTCTACAGCAGCCTCGAATTACAACGGAAGTATGAATATTATTTACATCAAAGCAAAGCAAAGGCAAAAGTTTATTAACCCATTTGCCAGGCTCATTGGCTTAAACTCAGCTACACTCAATTTAATGAACTCGGATCGTTCTGTAATTTACTGACAGGGCGTGATTAGCTCATACAAAGGGAATTTCTGAGATACTTTTTGAGTGGCAACACGGGGCGAATGCGTGATGCAGGCCGCAGATTGATTATATAGTCAGTCAGACAGAAAGCAGTGCAAGACCGTTGCCCATTTGGTCTCCATTTCATTGTTTTCCGTGCCCCAACTATCGTCCATTCAGTGTATTTTTGGCCAATATTGTTTATTTTATTTGCGAAATTCCTTTGAAAAAGTTATTGAAAATTTCGGCATTTTCATAATTTGATTTTCTTTTGTTGCCGTTTCTGCGGTATAAGTTGATTTTGTTTATTTCGGGAATGTCCGCGACGCGTGCCAAAAATAATAACCAAACCAGCACGCTACCGGGGCCGCTGACCATTGATGAAATAAAGCATTGATTTTGGGCAAGGTCAACCCATGGCAGTGTCTGACTCGGGGAATGGACGACGGATGGACAGTGACACGCCTTCGGGCGAAAATCAATAAAAGCGTCGTTGAGTGGTCCATAATAATTTTACGCGACTTCGGCGACCCACTAAAAATAGCCAAAGGCGGAAAGCGAAAAGGCATAGGTGTGTCCCGGATGAAAAATTGGCAGGGGGACATACATGCGGCCTAAGTTTTAGAGTGAAACCGAGGAGTTGAATTTACTTTGCGTTCTTGGAGCTACATGGAAAGTGCATACTCTTGTCCTAGTACATTTTTAATAAGAAAAAAACAAGAAGGACATGACTATCAAGGACATTGCTATCCACTTCAAAGCCAAGGCCCCCAAATAATGAAACCATTGGAATTACCTGGGCTATATCTCGCCGAGTGCAGCAAAAGTTGACGAAAGTCATGTTGACGAAATCCGAGCCGTGGCACACCGTCACCGTCTTCTCCTCCAGCGTGTCCTGCGGGCCCAGCGTCACAATCTGACGGAGCTTATTGTCCTGCAATGGAACGATGACCATGGCCATGATAATTAAAAATGAGGAAAATTAAGTTTTATGACGCAGCACTCGTAAATTAAAGTCATAAGACCTATTCTTTTAGTGCAGAAAAATTAATTATCTCAACTCTTAAACCAAAAACAAACACACCACTTCCGACGTCAATTGACTGGTGTAACATTCTTCTATTAAGCCGAGCGTTTAGGCAGAGAACCCTTTAAAGTATCGTTTAGCGTTGATAATCGAGAACGTACCTGGAAAATTATAAAAAGGAAGGGACTCCCTGGTTGGCGGCAGGTAACGTTTATCTGCGAGCGTCATGATTTGATTTTAACTAACAACTAATTTCGGAAAATTTGTCGCTCTGAATAATGTTAGGGGCTTTCCCGTCTCCCTCCTACGGGTCTCTGTATGGATTTTTGGCCCGGCACCGGGCGAAGCGTAAACCGGAAATGACTACGGCGATTATCTTAATTGCTCTCACGCTTCGCCCTTGGTATTCACGCGCATTTCTCCGCCCACCCACGGCCTCTCAACCCTGCGACTCCTTTTTGTCTGCTAATCCTTTCGGCTCTGGTTGAAATTTAAATTTTAAGAACGCTCATTATGGGCCAAATCGTTGGCGACAGCAGGAGGACTGAGACAATTTTAAATAGCCCAGTTATTGATTTAAGAGACGCCAACATTTTGTTACTTTAGCGACGTATGAACCTTATGGAAAACCTAGGGAATTTTCAATTTGTTGCCGGAACACATAACTTTTTGCCGAGAAAAGGCTTATTCGCATATCATAGGCCCTACGTAGTATCTGTCAGCTTTTTATCCCATATTGTTTAGATAGTCGTAAGAACCAGATAAGGAATTAAAATAATTTTTATATTTAAGACAGAAAAAAAAATTTTAAAATCCAAAACAAACTTCTCGGCCAATATAGCAGAAGCTTCGAGCGCGGTGAGAAAATTATGAGCAGTAAACGATCGATTGGCCAACGCCAAGACTCGCAAAATTACAGAGATTCCAATCATTCAAAAATTCCTTGCAACACATTTGGAACTCCGAACCCCGAGCTTAATCCCGGACCATACGAAGTGATCCGTCAGCGTAACTGCAAGACAGGAAAATTCGTCCAATGGGAGCAGTATCCAAACATAAAGCCACCTGTTTCCAAGTGCAGTTACGATCAGACTAAGTCTTGGCTTTATGATGCGGTGGATCGTGAAGGCTGTCTGGAACCCAGCAACACGGAGCAGGATGCTCTAAAGATCTGGAAAATGAGCCCGCACAAGAACACTCTTAACTATTATGGCGTGGTCGATGGACTACGCCGGCCGGAGGATATTAAGTTTAACAGGACCGTGACAGCCAGCCTAAGATACGCCAGTGGCTTTACGAGGAGGAAAGCCTCTAGTCGACCAGTTCCACCACAGACACAGAAACCACCACAACCCGCTCCCGTATGTCGGCCTTACGTCCTCAATCGGCAGGCTCTGCAGGCCGAGCTCCAACGGATGCCCATTGCTAGACAAAAACTAAGTCCCAATGAGGCTTTTAGTACGCTATTTTGCGAAAAGCTCCCGGATCCCAAGGATCCTTTAGGAGTGGATGGGGCCACTCGAAAGATTAGCTTCAGAGAAGTCCTCAATATGGAGAGACCCGTGAAGGAAACCCCAAAACCAAAGCACTGGTACTGTCCCGCAAAATGTGGTGAGCCGGAGAACAAGTGCACGACATTCGAGTGGGCTAAGTACAAGCTGGACCCCCGACCCAACGATGCGGCGTTCCAAGAGTGGTACGTCAACCAGAAGCTGCCTCCACAGAACGAGCCGCACGACTACGATGAGCTGTACAACCGATTCCAAGCTTGTTTCGAAGTGAAGCCCGAACCAGATCCTGAATGTGTAGCCATGGCAAAGTGCTGTCCGGATATGTTGAAGGAAACGAACGATGGGACTGGTGGAGGAGGAGCGACTGGCGGGGGTGGCGGAGGAGAAGGAGGTCAGGGCGATCGAGGAGGTGATGGTTTCAATCGCCCAGGAACTGACAAGGATGAAGGTGGGCCAAGTGGGGTTGGCGATAATGAAGATTCAGAAAAGGATACGGGCAAGGGCACGGACACCGGTAAAGGTGACGGTAAGGACAAGGGTAAAGGAAAGGACAAAGACGACGATGCAGATAAACGGAAGGAGAAAGACAAAGATAAGGATAAGGATAAGGACAAGGAAAAGGATAAGGATAAGGATAAGGATAAGGATAAGGAAAAGGATAAGGAAAAGGATAAGGATAAGGATAAGGATAAGGATAAGGATAAAGATAAGGACAAGGAAAAAGATAAGGCCGATAAGGGTAAGGATAAGAATAAAGGAAAGGATAAGGTCACAGACTGGGACAAAAAGAGAGATCTGAAAGATTTCGAAAACGACAAGCTCAAGCCTCCGGAAAAGCCTAAGGAACAACCTGTAGAAAGCACCACAGATATTTCCACTCGAAATATGTCCTCTGTGGACACCAGGGACTCAGGCCATGACCAATCAGACAGGCCAAAGGTCGGGGGTCCAACAGGACCACAACCAGTCGGGGGTGGATCGAAGCCGGGCAAAAAACCATCAAAGAAGAAACATAAAAAGAAGGGAGAGCATCCGAAAGGCGACAAGGGAAAAGGAAAAAAGGATGGAGAAGCTGAGGGGTCTTTTCCTCCGTGTCCTCCGTGTCCTCCAGTGGGGTGTGGATGTTCCATTTGCGACTGTCTGTATGGCAAACAGCTTCCCATTTCTCCGGCCATGAAATCGGCGTTCGCCCAAGATAAGATTCGCCAATCGAGAGACTATCTTCAACGGATGCGTCACCGCCAGTACATGGAATGCAAGGGCGAGCAGCCTAAGGCCCCCCAGCACAAGGTGGATGCCATCAGCTGCGATGACTGCTTTTGTCGAAATCCCAAGATATCCGAGTACTGTGAGTGCTTGGGCGCCCTGCAACATCTTCAGCAGCTTCTTGGCAAGAAGCGCCATCCGATCGTGAACAACGAACTGCTCTTCAACCTCGACGATCTCCGGCAAAGAATCGCCCAGCGAATGTGCGAGTGTATCTGAGAAATGTGTTTTGGTCCCATTTTATTGGCTTGTATCTTACATTCACGTCTTAGTGTTTTTCAAAATTGGACAATTGAAAAATATAATCAAATTTATAATTATTATTAATGTCTGTCTTCGATGTGATTAAAAAAAATAGTTTTCATTCTGCAAATCTTTTGATTCGAGGTAAAGTTGGTTGACTCGCCGCGTTTTTGTCGAAGGGTGCTGTTAATGGGATACAAAAGCCGGCCTGGAAAGCCACGTCGCTTAGCTTTAGTGACAACCTGTGTAGGCCTCAACAGTAGTTTATTATGAGCTCAACAGACAATACCCAAATCTAAAAAGAAGCCTGTTCTAACTTGGTTCTCAGTAAGTAACAAAGTGGACCCGAGTCGCTGAAGAAGAGAAGAGACTACATTATCACGACAATGGGCAAAAAGAATGTTTGTCTCCGAGGATCTCCGAGATTCCAGGGGGTCAGGGGTCTGAGGGGTCTGAGGGGTCTGAGGGGTCACAGGGGCCTTCTGAATGCGAGTCAGCGGACCTCATAAACACCTTCATTGAAAAACCGCCCACGATGTACCAATGGATGCGATGGAAAAACTGCAAGACCCATAAGCTGCACCTGGAGGAAACCTATCCCAGCATTCGGCCGCCGATCTCGAAATGCGACGAAATCAAGACCCTGCATCATATCGACGACAGTATGGCGGCCAACCAATGCATGAGGCTATTGGACTTTGGCAAGGCAGATGTAGTGACCATATGGAGATCCACTTCCCGGAAAGACACCTTGGGGTGCTATGGCGTTGGATCAGATCCCACTCCGCAGATATTCTTATATGATGAAGCCTTGAGGAAGAGCCTTAAGGCAGCCAGTCTTCTACCCAAGCCACCAAAGAAGTCAAATATAAAGCCCAAGTGGCAGCTCAAGAAAAAAGGGCGGGAACCGGAAGGCGCCTATGTCCTGAATCGAGAATGTCTTAAATCCAAGCTCGACAGCATGCCAAACGTTAAACGACAGCTGAAGTCCAGCAATGCCTTCTCCTGGCTCCACTGCCCGCAGCCAGCGGATGGAAGGCATCCCTTTGATGATAGCACTGGCTTTCCGGCGATCAGCTTAAAACAAGCAATGGACATGGTGAAACCGGAGAAGCCTCCGAAACATGGCCTGCGACGTAAGCACTGGTACTGCCCTCCAAAATGCGGCGAAGTTGAGAACAAGTGCACCGACTACGAGTGGGCCAACTATAAGCTGAATCCCCGAGCAATCGACGAGGCTTTCCGCCAAGAAGTGGCTGCCCAGCAAAAATTCAAGAAACACGAGCCTTCCAACTACGATGAGCTCTACAAATCTTTACAGAATTGCTTTGTTCAGAACCCGAGTGGAAGAACTCAACTCTGCGAAGCGCTTGAGAAATGTTGTAAAAATCGCGGAGATCCACCCTCCCAGGGATGTGGCGAGTTTATGCCCGGTGGCACTGGATGCGATGGTGAGTTAGATGTTGATAAAGAAAAGGGAAAAGGGGAAATGAAAAATGGGGATGACGTTTTGATAATGGTAAAGGACGTAAACAATTCAAGCCATTTTAATCGGCACGCACTCGAGTGCTGGGAATCTTGCCCTTGGATGTATGCTATGCTTTTTGTCATCTAGAGTGACAATTCTTTCTCCCAGAAAAGTCTTTTAATCTCACGGTGACGACAGCCATTTCCTTTTATTAAGTTTTATGCTTAAACTAGATAAATATTTTATTTTTGGATCCTATTCTTTTTCAGTGAGATGCGCCTGCCTCGGAAAATGCTGCTGCAACAGGAAAAAGGGAGGCAAATCCTGCGGGTTTATACCCATTATGATACAGACGAATACATTAACCGAGAGAAACGGCGAAGAATGTTCCTGCTTATCAAAGGAAAAATCGAGCACGAGTGTTCGCGACATTTTCCAAATGGACGTAACCGAAGAAGCCTCCAATCTGTGAGTTATTATAAAGTATACGCACCTTTGGCCGCTTGGCATACTGCCCGGTCCGAACGTCGCGAATTGTGGCTATGTCCAGGATATCCAGCTCATTGTTCTGATCGACCCAGTAGAGAAAGAAGCCCTTCGCATCGACACGCATTGTAACCGGTGTTCCATTGCCCGAGTCCTGTAAACAAAAGATATAATGAGAACCAAAAATAAAACAGGCTTAACCAAAACAATTTAGCATTAGGTAATCAAAAGACATTGTCTCCCAGCCATTCAGATCCAATGAAACACAAAGTCGTCATTCGCGAGTTTATTGAACTGCTCCGAAATCAATTTTTCTCGTACCATTTCTTAGCTGAGTTCTGTTTGTTATTTCTGCTTATTATTTAAGTCAAATTAAATGGACGTCTGCCGGCAACCATAAATATTTAATACCGCGGCCATTCATTCATAAGAAAAAGTCTGGCGAAACGCGAAAGCTGCCTGCCAGCATCTGGCTTCGCCAACCAGATGCGCATTTCGAGTCACCCCAGCCGAAATTAAAATATTTTTTAAATATGCATGCAAATAATAAGTGGCAGCCAAATCTGGCATCCAGCGAACAAGATGTCTCGGAGAACTGGCTTTTCTTCCGGGCAGCGAGACGAAAAAAACATTAAACGGAGCGGGTTGTTGCCATGAGGGTGGTGACAGCGGCTGTGGGTGTTACAGTCGACGAAGGCGACGTGCAACAAAATAAAGATTTTATGAAAATATTTATTGGCTCTCATATAGGCAACAAGTTCTCTCACTTGAGTCTTTACGAAGGGGAACAAAAATCTAAGTATCTCAGAAGCAGATGATGGTACCCCTTAAAAAATGAAAAATGCAATGCAGTGGAAAGATTAACATCGTCGTTACTATTTTCAATATATGTAAGTCAGCTTATATCAATAGTTTCTCGTGGGGCTTCTGAACCCCACGTACCTGCCTGTTTGCTCATGGAATTCCTCCACACCACTTGTTCGCTCCGCTAAAAAGTATGGTATGCCTTGACCCTCGACGGTATTGGCCCATAAAGATTAGGGAATGCTTGTTGTTATGGCCAAAATTGATGTGCTTTGAAATACTCGTTACGAGCATATTTAATTTGCGCAGCCACAAGTTCATTATCCTTTCGGTATCGAATTTTCTGGATGAGTTTAATGAACCCACTTGCCTCGCAAAATGGTCTGCCCGGCTTCGAAGGCAAGGGCGAGAGGCTCCTTAATAATTGAAATTGAAAACATCAACTCGGATTCGCCCCCACTACTTGTGATACTCAATTAGGCGCACATTTTCTGGTATTTCCCGCTGGGCTGGTCTATTGGTTGATTAGAGAAATCCGAGGTGCGCTAAAAAGGATCGCCCATCGCTAATTGGAGTCCGCAGCCCCCACTCGAGTAGTCTTGGATGATTTTTCTGTTTGTTTAATTACTGAAAACTAATTGAGTTGCGGTCGCCGCGTTAACTTCATTAATTCAATTATAATATGCATAATTCAGTGGAAATCCAATAACAGCAGAAATTGTGTGCGAATTTCAGCGCTACGTTGTTACTGCTCCTGACAGCCCGAGTTGAAAATGACTGCCGCTTGACACGCTCCTCAGACATTAACCGCCACCGCTTGCATGCATATCAGTAAATGTGTATCCGTATTTGAATCAGCATCTATATAAATAAATACACATGTACATCTGAACGTGAGTGTGCGTTTAGGATAAGCACGATTACATGCATAATTCAATTGGGGTAACGGTTGGAACTGCTCCCTGCATGTCGCCCGGCTAGAGAAAACGCTTAAGAGAGACCGCACACCGAGAAAAAGTGATAGCTGAAAGGACGAAGAACAAGGGATACCAGGCAGATAGCCAGATGGCCTTAAAATGCACTGTGAATATATTTCGACTGCTGCGAAAGTCTATAAAAACAAACTTATTTCGCAGCATTTTTAGCCTCCTTGCCATGTCACAGAGATCCTAAATAATTCTTTAAGTTCCTTTGAGTTTTTCCCAGTACCTATTCCCATTTACAGATACAGCTACATTGAGATCTATGAACACATCTGTTGGGGACGATTGTCACACGCCATTCCCCATTCGGTTGTCAATCATGCTTAGGGAACGGAGTTCTGAAAGGGCTGTCAGGCGTCAAAAGAATGGATGGAGTGCTACAGTGCATTAGGGAGCACTGGGAGGCGATTGACAGGGGATTGGTGGGGGTTAAGAATATGCAAATGCTGCCGTGGACCAGCTCAGTTCCCTGGGAAAGTGTAATCCGTGGTGCCTGGGACCAAGCTATTGAAATGAGCTTAAACAGCTGCTGGCTCAACTACATGCAAATTATATCATAAAATATGTAACTGTTCAGCTCCTGTTTACCAACAGTTTCCTCCCCAGCCCATTTCCATACCCCCGAGTTACCTGAGGAAGTTTTCCTGTCACTCAAAAACTTTCCCGCCCCTATCGTTGACGTTTTCCTAAGCCAACTATCTAGGAGCCATTTGAGAAATGGGTCGCCAAACTCATTTTCTCGTCAGGGTCTGGGTTTGCTGTGGGAGGCTGCTCCGAAGATCACAATTATGGCAACCAAACCTGTCTAGACAAGTCTTACGTCAGCAAGAACAGCTTATCAGCTTATTTCACCATTATTTGGGAAAATCACTAATCCGAAAACAAGAACCAACACCTGATTGAAATCCCTGATGCACTTACTCAGCACTTACACAGAATCTGTCATATATCACTGGCTGATCGGCAACCGAAAATAGTAGTTCGATTTGAGGCAATCAGCCTGACTGAATTGCCTTATCGGGCAATAAAACACGGTTTTCGATTTGCGCTAACGAGTTCCGTGATTAGATACGGAAACTCGCGATGTTTACTTTACTAGAGTATTACGCAAAGATCTCTACTTTTAGTTTAGTTGGTAGTAGGCGGCGATCACTTGGTAGATCCATCCGACGTAAGCCGGCACAGAGGTGTAAACTGTGGGCCGACTGGCATAGCCGCATGGCATATAGCTCCAGGAACCCAGACCCACCAGCTCTGGGGGTCCAGAGATGGGCCAGTAGACCAGTGGAGTGCCTCCGTCTCCGTAACAGGTCTTAACTTGGGAACACACCTGTTCCGCTGAAAGAGGAGCGTCAGCTGGCAGTAGCTCTTGGCACGCAGTTCTGTTGAGCAGGGGAGCAAAGGCGTACTGCAACTCCTTGGAGTACTCATCGCCATCGGCATCGGTGAGTCCCCAGCCATATGCAGCAGCCGTCTTGCCACTATAATCGTCGCTGATGTCCGGCAAGGCGATCTGCTGAACTCGAGCGCTGTACACGAAACTCTCCGACACGTGCAGCAAGGCTATATTATCACTTCCGGCGACTCCATTGAAACCCCTATGCTTTGATGCAAAGTCCACATAGCGCACTTGCGCGTCCGTTAGGTTGGATCTGTTGACGATCCCTGCATACACGGGCGTTCCCACTGCGTCCCCATTGCGATCGATCAGTTCCTCGACACAGTGAGCAGCCGTTAGAATCCATCGTTTGCCGATAATGGCTGCTCCGCACAGGTGGCTATAGGTGGCTTTTGTCAGGGATAGGGAAACCAAGTAGGGCACATTGTCCACTCCCTGCACATCGTAGCCATCGATGATCAGCGGCTGGATTTCTACTTGCTCCGTGCTCCTCAACGATAGGTGCTGAGTATGCGGGACTTTAGCCGCTCCGGCCAAGGCCAAGAGTGGCAGAAGGAAGAGCGGCGAAAACATTACTGATACGGCTAAGAAACAAAGAACGTCTAAACTGGCCGTCATGAAGCCATTTGGCTTTTATAGGAAAAGACTAGAAAGCTTTTGTTATCAGCAAAGAGAAAAATTCCCCAAAGAACTAGTTCCCCCAACCGAATATTTCGGCGGTTAACCATGAAATAGTTAAGTCCAGGAAGGTAAATCTATATACTTTAAAACTAAAATGAAATAATCAGTAATTGCAGCAGAACTAAGAAAAACAAATACTATGCGGTATTGGAAAGAAGTGGGCTGACCTTTGAAACTAGGAACTAAAGATAAGTTTCTTAAGTCATGAGCTGGTGTGGGACAGAAAACCCTTGATTGGAAGGTTGATATCACAATTTTGGTAGTCTAGTAGGAGTGCCCACCTAAGGCGCAGTTTCCAGCAGAGCTGCTCTTTTAATATATGTTTAAATAATAGTTTCATTTTTAAATAATCCCGACCTGCCCCCATGGCTCCGGATCCCATTACCCGCTCCGAGTGCTGTGGCATATAAAACATGCAATTACCATTCGAAGCGAGAAAAGAGGAAGCGGAATGGAGGGTGAAGTGCATGCACTCCCGTGCACATAAGTTGCCTTCAAGTGGCATTAGGGCCACATAGCCACATAGCCACCTGACCCGTCGGGTCTATGGTGTCCTGAAAATGCGCAAACGCAAACGTGCGGTTACTTCAGGGGAATGGGAATGGGGTCAACTATTAATTGGCTTTGTGCGACAGCTAGGAAAGCGCTCGCAAGGGGTCAGTATTTTTAGCATCCTTTGAGACTGGGCCGTACCCAAACGTGGCGTGTCGACACCTCCGTTGGCGCATTACGCATGTCCACTGGGGTGGGTATTTCCGGGGCTTTTCCTTTCAAGGGCAACTTACTTTTAAACATTCCTATCGTTCAATCCTAATCAAGCCAACTAATCGCCAAACACGATTCATAAATCTATCTTCTAATCTCTAGTAAAACACAAGTATAAAAGGTGCCTTTGGCTGGGTAGGCAGTAGACATTCTTCGCCAATCTGCAGAATGAAGCTGATCGCTGTGACTTTACTTGTTGCCCTGGTGGCCGCCGCCCAGGGAGGAAAGCTCTCCGACAAGCTGGCCAAGATCGTGCCTAGCTTCGCCACTGGCTTTGTGATCAACGGCACGGAGGCGGAACCTCATTCCGCCCCGTACATTGTTTCCCTCGCCACTAACTACGACAAGCACTCGCACATCTGTGGAGGCACCATAATCGCCAAGGAGTGGGTAGTAACCGCTGCTCATTGCATTTCGTCACCAGTAGGAATGAGTGTCATTGCCGGTCTCCATACCCGCGCCGAAGTGGATGAGCTTACCCAGCAGCGCAAGGTTGACTTTGGCCGCGTTCACGAAAAGTACTCCGGTGGAGTAGGACCCTACGACATTGCCCTGCTCCACGTGAGCGAGCCCTTCATCTTCAACGAGTGGGTTTCGGCAGCCACCTTGCCCAGTCGTGAGCAAGTCCATGAGGGAGAGACCCATCTGTACGGCTGGGGACAGCCCAAGTCTTACGTCTTCACTGCCGCCAAAACTCTGCAGACTGTTACCACCGAAATTGTGAACTACGACGAGTGCAAGGCTGAGCTTCCGGAAACCGCTCCTCTGGCTGAGAGCAACATTTGCTCATCTTCCCTGCAACAGAGCAAGTCAGCCTGCAACGGCGACTCCGGCGGCCCACTGGTCGTTGAGACCAATAAGACCGCATCCGAGCTAATTGGTGTCGTATCCTGGGGCTACATACCCTGTGGATTGGCCAACCTGCCCTCTGTCTATACCAGGATATCCGCCTACGTCGACTGGATCACCAACATTCAGAGTGCCTACTACCAGCTCTTCTAAAGCGAAGGGAGGAAATAGCAGTCAGATTCAATGAAAGGATCGGAATCACTTTGGTCATAGCCATGATCGATTGTTGAATAAAAGCATCCTACTGAAGTTTAAAGTCTTGTGTTTTTCAAGCTATATTGGTTATCAGGGGATTTTAGATTAGTTTTTTAGACAGTTAATAAAGAAGTGGGAAAATATTTCAGCTGACTTAATAGAAAGGCCTTAACTCTAATCGTTTTGGCATTGAGAACCGTAATCGAATCCTCAAGATACATTGGAATAGAAAAAGCTTTTCAGGAAGCCATGAAATGACGACAAGCATTTCCCAAGATAATTGTGAAGAGTTTGAGGGGAAATTCGATTTGAATTGTAGCTCGTTATAGGTATTGCGTGCAGATTAAAGAGGGAAACACCTTAGTTCATTAGTACCCGCGTTTAAATCTCAACCTCAAATAGAATACCAAAGTAATCCATAGGTGAATCGGTCACATGAGGAACCAAAACTCAATTCGCCTGCGATCAGTTGTGAAATAGCATCTGGAAATGAAAGTTCAACCTTTGTTTGCTTCCTCGCCAAGGTTGCGTTTACAATTTATGGCGTCTAGCTACCACAGAACCGATAGATAATCAGACCCGGATTAAGAATTACTAATTTATGACTTCTAATATAAGCTCTGGAAAAGCACCGACTTTTGGAGGCGTGTGCCATTTATAGATGGTTCAGTCTGGAGAGTCATACACCGACCAATCAATGCCAGCCAAAGTGGAAGCTCTTTCTCGTTGAGATTACAAAAGTGATTACTAATGCTGCTTAACTAGATTGGAAAAGCTCTGCGAAGCTCAACTCTTTCACCATGTCAACATGTTGCTGGAATATGGAACATGACTACCCAAAATGTTTGGTCAACACACCTTGCACTATCAGTGAACTACGTTCGAACTATTTTAAGTTTATTTGCACGATTCAAAATAAATATAGATTAAAATCTAGAACCACTCCTGTTATTGAACTATTGAATGGCTTTGAATGGCTTTAGTAAAAGTGGCCAACATAGTGAAGTGCCATCCAGGGCGAGGCCAAGAACCAGACAAGTCGACTGCAGGGAAGCCTTTCCGTGCTTCAAGTGGATGCAAGCACACGGGAGATTAGCTCATTAATCAGTCAATGGCGCCACTGCAGGACAAAGCGAAATCATATCGGGGCCAAGAATACTCTGGCCAGGATCATAAATCTCCAGGTGATAACGATAGCCGAGTGGAGTGGCCGGAGCTCATATTGGAGATTAGAAAGACCTATAAAAGGCGCTGACCAAATTACTAGTAGACAAAACTCAACAGAGAACTCAAAATGAGAACATTCGTGGTCATATTAGCACTAGCTTTGGCTGCAGCCTCGGCTAATTTGATTCCCCAACCGGGATTCCCTGACGGCCGCATCATCAACGGTTACGAGGCCACTAAGGGAGAGGCTCCCTACATTGTATCCCTGCAGAGCACATCGAGCTCGCACTTCTGTGCAGGAAGTCTGATCGACAATGTGACCATTTTGACCGCAGCCCACTGTCTGACAAACAAGGAAGGGCAGGCAGTTTGTGGTGCTCACGACCGTACCAACCAGCAGGATGTCCAGATCAGGAAGTTCACCAATGCGCAGTACGTGATCCACGAGAAATACGGCGGTGGTGTGGGACCGAACGACATCGGCCTAATCTTGCTGAATGAGGAAGACGCCTTTGACCTCAACGCCGTGTCGCGCGATGGAAGCAATCCCGTGGCTGCAGTAGGTCTTCCTTCGAAAACATTCGAGGGCACTGGTGATGGATGTCTATACGGTTGGGGTCGCGACAACTCTGGTTTGCTGCCCACGAATCTTCAAAAACTGGATGCCAATGTTATTGGCTACACCGAGTGCAAGAACGCCTTGCCCGTCACCAGCTCGATAGCAGAGACCAATGTTTGCACCCATACCTCCGGAAAAGCTGACGGAGCTTGCAACGGAGACAGCGGCGGCCCCTTGGTTATCAAGTCAGAATACGTTGACACTATAATAGGCATCGTTTCCTGGGGATACACACCTTGTGCATCGACCACCTATCCATCCGTCTACACAGGAGTTGCCTCGTTTTTGCCTTGGATCGCTGAGAATCGTAAGGCTAAATAAGCATTAACCGATAACTGTACCATTACTTAATCCCCCTTATTAAACGAACATTCTGTATTCCATCAACTAACATAACTCACTTAACGGGCTTAATGAACGTTCTGATACTCACATCGTCCCATCGAATAAATTTTTCGCCATCTTGAAGAGCTTGCGGCACCTCCACACTGGCGGTAGAGATGTACGTTCCACCGGCACTCATCATCTTCAGTGCGTTTTTGGACTGGAATCTCGGGTCTCACTGACCCTCAGTTGGCCGATTTTGGTTGTTTTTTGGCTGCTGGTTTGGAATCGCTGCGCCTTGTAGTTTCCACCTAACCGCTGCTCGGCTTTTCCACTACTGTAGATGTCGCGAAATTTCCCCGGCTGCATACAAATGACGCCATGGTCCTGGACCTGATCTGAGTCCTGTACGTGATTCGTGCCACAATTAGAAGGCCGTTCTTTTTGCTAAGCGTCCCAACTTTTTTGAATGCATTCTACAGCTTGATTAAAATTCGTGGTTTCCTGAAAATGCACAGAGAAAATAGGAATGGTTGGTTACCAAATTAATTTGTTCAACTAATCGGTCAGTTCTTAAATAACAATCTTTCTCCTTGCCTGATCACATAAGCTATTTGTTTTTTAAATACAAATACTTTGTATATATTTAAAACAGGGGCCTTTCTTGCTTTCTTTGATATATTCAAAACTTATTTAAATAGTAGTTCCCTATAATTATTCTCATTCTACGAAACTATGAATTTTATAGATGTACAACAGAATCACGTATACGGGGCAGCTTAATTAATGAGTCGCCAAAAGTCAATTTTTCCGACTTTGTTTTCGACGGTCAACCCGATTGAAGGAACCCCGCCGAAAGGTCAGAAGCCGGGGTCTGGGTTTCGGATGATGGGCTTCCATTCAGCAACGGAGTCCATTCATTCGGTCCCCTAACATTCAGAGCTCAGCGGCTTTGTTTGCCTATTTTTGGGCTGCTGTCGCTGGTCTTTGTGTTGCGAAATTCCCTTGAAGTTTCCCCTTGCTCTTTGTTCGGCTTCTAGTTTCTGTATTCAAGTGCACTTCATTTATGCACAAAAACCGTTTTTTGGTTTGCTAATTTGGCTCACAACCATTTTCAATTAGCCGGCAGGGAACTCTTGACCCGAGCATTATCGAGTAGCTTTAAATAGACATCCGGTGCTGGTTTCGCAACTTGAATGAACTGAGCTGTGTGGTTTCTCGGTGTGGCATCGTCCACAAAGCAGGAGCCCAGAATGACAGCTTATCCATAAGTGGATATAGAAGAAAAGTGGCACGTGACTTCTGGGCTAATACTTTCTTAATTTCTTGTTATAGCAACTTTCGTCATGTCCGCCGGGGAAAACCAAAGCTAAAACAGAAACAGTAACTAAAATAGAAACAGATGCACCCAATGAAAATGTAAGCAAAACTTTTAGCAACAGTCCAAGGACAGCCACATTGAGTTATCCAACAAGAATACACTCAGGAAATCACTTTGAAAGGATTTTATTTTCCGTTTTTATGGTGCAATTTAAAGACATTTTATCGAAATGAAAACCGTCATTAACAACTTCAAATTGAATCCCCATTGAATTCCATTATAAAGCATCTATTAATATAGTTTTAGTTTTTGGGAAAATAGAATCCACAGTATTCTAGTCTTCACTCTTAAACCCATTTCGAAAGTAATTTGTTTGTATTCGTTGCTTAGGCAAATTGAATTTGCAATTTATATTGGCGTTTTTCCTGCCATTTTCTGTTTGAAATCGATTTTCGACATCGCACAGACTGCCAAAGGGAAGTAATTAAGCATTTTCATTCTGTTTATGTTCCGACTACTTTCGAGTGTATTCGTAGTATTCGTATTTGTGTGCGGCAAATGGCTTTCGAGTCGATATCAAAAATTGTTATCGTAAGTGGAATGAAAAATGCGGGAGATGCCTGCTCGATTTTCCTCATTTCCATGCTTCCGTCGCTTCTTTTTACTTTGCAAATCGTTTTAAGTGTTTTATGGCAAACAGGCAAAAAATTTATTGCAGTCAATTTGAAGATGTACCCCATGTACTGGGAAAGGTGGGCGGCTGCGGGTTGGAGGGCGGTAGATTCAGGACCTATTCTGGGAATACGCAACGGAAATCTCAGCGGCAACACACAGATTACAAGTGACTTTTCCGCATCGTTTTCCTGTGTTAGAAAAAGAGAGAAAGAGCTAGCCCATGAATCATGTATGCGACGGAAACAGAACAAAACGCTTTGCTTCAGCCCCCTCCGACGTTCCACGCCCACTGACCCCCTTTTACCACGAAGCCTTCGGCAGGGAAAGCATCATAAATCAAAACGGGAGTCAAAGCTTGTTTTGCCAGCTTACATCCAAAGGTTAAATGTTGATTTATGTTGCAGGCCTTAGCGTACTTGCTATTGGCTTGTTGCAGGCTTCCATTTGATCTGAGTCGAATTTATTGATCCGCTAGTTATATGTTGCACACCGAAAATAAACATAATATTCAAACTTACAATTATATTTTTTTTAAACGACAGAGTTAAGCGTTTAACTACGTCCACCTAAGTGACCCTTTAGCTCGTACACAAATTTTCCGAATGAATGAGTTTCCACCATGAGACTGGGCTCTCCTTCGAGCTTCTTCACCACCATTTCCGGTAAAGTACGGAAGTTGCTTGTCAAACGGCAATCTTCCCTAGCAACACACTTCCACTCACACAAACACGATAATCAAATCAAGGCGCCAGCTATTCGGTTAATGTACATGGCAGCAACGTCGGAAAAAGCAGGAAAAATGTTGGGTAAAGAGAAGAGGATGCGGGTCCAGGAGAAAGTTAAAACTGAAGCAGGTGAGACCCGAAAGATAAGACCTCTAAGGGTAAAGATAGGCGGAAGGCAACAGCATTTTTGTAGCATGCTTTTTAGAGCGACAGTTTTCCACTTTCTCTCATTTTGCCGCGCGGAAATTGCAGCGACTGCCTGTGGCACTTTGTATGTGTGTGTGTGTGCCGACTATAATTTTATTTGTGGTACATAAAACTTTTCCAGGCTTCATCTCTTTGCGCCAAGACGATGCGAAGGCCAGAGAGAATCACATTAAACTAATTGCTTTAGCTTGTCGTTGCTTTTGCTTCCATTGTTTCTGCTGCTGTTGTCGAGTGTTTGATTGTTAGTGCTTTTAGGCAGCGCAAATTATATTTGCTTGTATACTAAAATGGTCTCTGTTCGCATTTGGCAGCCATTAAAAATTGAAAAACCACTGACACACACACACACTCCTGGACTCATTTTGTCAGGCACTTTGAGTGTCGTTAAACTAAACGTTCTAAGAAAACCAAATTTTCTTATCATAATCTTCCTGCTCTTGCTCCAGTCTTAGGTAAGTAAGTATGGTAACGGTTCAATATTGTTTCAAAGATGATGATTTTTATTGCTTTAGTAAATTATTTAAGTACCCAAATAAAACAGTGAGCTTGGGCCCATTTCTTACCTCTGTTACTTTCGAATCTTTTAATATTCAAAATTAATTTGTATTCATCCTCTTGACCATTTACATTCTTCAAAAGGAATGAATATTGTTTAGATGAATAAAAAAGATTTTTAAAGCGTTTCCCTTACAAAATTGGTGGCCTCAATGCAAAATTCTTGGCCGAGTTTTCTTTTATTCCCACCATGTTTTTCCTTCTACTTTTCTTTATGTACAGAAAATTCATCATTCAGAGAGCAGATGAGGGTTTGGTGGTTGCAAGTCAACAACTTGCCGGCCCTTGGGCGCTCAGAAGTCGCTCATATCGGTAGTATAAAGTACACAAATAAATAAAAATATAAACCATTGGACAGGCCTGAGGAAAGGGAAAACGGGTGAGCTGTGGGGGTGTGTCGAAAGAAAAACAAAATTAAGTTCAATGACACCCCAAAACAACAGCTCCCGGCAGTAAATTCGAGTTCTAAAATGTTTTTGGCTGTTCTTGTTTAAAACCTTCGTCAACGACAAGCTGAGTTCTCCTCAGGATCCTAGAAAAAGGCCTAAAGTACGCCCCATATTTATGTGTGTGTGTATAAGGGCGCCTCCAATTGGAAAACTTTTGTTATGCTTTTCATTCGGGGATTTCTTTATGCGGGGTGAGCAAACTGGCATTCATTTAATTTTATTTGGAGTTAGCGACCCGGACCTGCCCCACCTCTAACCTGATGGATAATGCCCGTCGATAGGCAAATTGTGAAAATATTGACAAAACAATTGTTTTCGATTGCACGCGATGTAATCCTCTTTTCTCACCTCACTTTTGGCCACCCCTATACCATCATCTTTGGCAGTTGTGTGTCTAAATGTTTTATTTTTAACGCGGTGAGTTCAATGCTTGATTGGCCTCCAGCAAAGTGCAAAATCAACCAAGGGAAAGTGAAATTCGGAAAGTTCAGAAATAGAGGCATACTTTTGGGGCCTTGACTGCTACGAATTGGAGATATGGAAAAAAGCCTTTTAAATCAAAATTTAACACATTGTTCTATAATATTAAAATTATATAGTGTTATATGATATCTAAAATGATATAAAGACACTCAATTCGTTCAACTTTATTCACTAATAGATCACAATCTATACTTGTCATTATCATGATGGATAACTATCCATATAAACTGTACGATACTCGCAATTCAGTCTGGTTCTGCGACTCAGTACCATCATCACCACCTGCACCACTTGAAACGCCATAAATCGTCTGCCACTGCCATGGATTCCGATTACAGCTAATTGCTCGACTAACTGCACGTCGGATAACCAAAATAAACAAATTAATTGCTTAAGTTATGTGCATTCTGCTGTTAATTTGTTTGCTAGGCACTTCGATTACGCAGATACCTACTTTACACCTACCTCCCTCCCCAGAGGCGCACTCGTTCGATCTGATTGCGGCAAGCTAGATCCGTCAAGTTTTGACAGCTTTCCCCGCTAGTTGTGGTCATGCATAATCATGCAAAGAAAGCTGAGGTAAGGGGTAGAATTTGACACAAACTAAATTCATTTTTGGCAGAATATGATAATTATTAATTAAAACTGTGTTTCAGTTTCACCGCAAATAAACTCAGATAAGGACACGAGATTAAACACGCACAAATATATTTTCTTCATACGAGCAGGATTTAATAAGATTAGGTAAGGAACTTCCTTTTATGAACTTCTTACTAGAAGCTATGATTATTTAATCAAAATAAATTTCTTCGAAATACCAACATGAAACAATGTAAAACTTTTTAGAACAACACTTTGTTCAGCATATCGCGGTTCTTCCGCACTCGTGAACTCAGTAATCGCAATTCGGTTTTGTATCGCTCATTATCAACAGCAACCACCAGAAATAATCTGCAAGCTCTCATTCATATTCATAGAATCTCCCCCATTCAGCTCCCCACATCATCTTCAGCTCCCGTTTACCGAACTCGTATCTCGGATCCCATGCGAAATTCATACTTCATTATGAATACC